TATATATATATATATATATATATATATATATATATATATATATATATATATATTAGTTAAGGGTTTGGTATTAAGTTTATATTAATCGGTGATGATTTTTGCGACAAAATAGAAGCAGAGGGACAATTTCCATCATACCAAACATTATCAAAAGCTTTTAATTTAGTCGCTTCATGAGTTATGCATAGCAATGCCCAGGTTTGCCAATATTGTTATTTTTCTTCATCTATTTCACATTACTAACTATGAATTTACAAATTTGTCCTTTCTCTTAACGGCTAGAATTCGGTTGTTGGTAATATCCACAAGATGAACATTTATTGTGAAAATATGTAACATTGTTTCTAATAAAGGGTAATAATGTCAATATGTCATCTATTGCAGAGTATAAGCAACTTTCTTTTATTTACTTAATTAATGACCCTAACCCAAACACACATTGACAACTGATTTGAATCTATCCTGATGGAAAACTACTTTGAGCGTTGATAGAATACCTAGAAGCCAATAATTTGCTACACTACACATATCTATCGACGTGGATTTTTAGGTTGTTATAGCATGATACGATTATCTTTCTGCTTATATTGCGATATCCATGTTGTTCATGTTTTGATGTCTTTTGGTACAGGTGGGAATCTAATGTTGGGGGAATAGGCTGATAGGTTGAAGAAGAATCAAAGAAACAATTGGAAATGCTCTGAAGGGATCAAATCTTGTGTTAATAACAAGAATTGGAGGTGGGGCAGAATTAGTACTGCTCCAGTTGTGCCCAGACAACAAAAAGGAGGATATTTGATTGTTGGTGTTGTTGTATGACTTATGGCTCTTGGTTTTCCTGTTGGGAGAGAGGTATATGCCATCATTTAAGTTCATTTCGTTGGTTTCTTTACATTTTGTTGGCTAATGATTGGGTTACATTTTTTTCACAGTTTGACCAACTTCACTATGGATTTTCTTCAAATTTTAAAGTAACTGTAGTTCATGTTATCTGTATTTCTCCATTTTTTTTATTCTATTTACTAATTGTTTGGTTAATCTTGGACTAATCAGATAAAGAACTAACAACTGGTTCCAAATAGTTTGTTACTGTACCAAATAAGGTTTAGATAGTTTAAGTATCCACCAATTATGACATCCTACTTTCACATGACTTCTTTCTTTTTTTGCTTATGGTCAGGTTATCAAGTCCACCGCCCTGGAAATACATGTATACTTGATGCACCAATAAAGTTCAAAAATCCAAATTTGAGGAGGAAATTAAGAGGGCATCTTCACTGTAATGCACAATGTCTATCTCCAAGAAGCAACAATAATTCAACGAATGAAGGTGTTGAATCAAGTTCTAAAAAAAATGGTCTGAACCACAGGGAAGCTCCCTTAATTTGATGCTCTGTTACTATTTTCATTCCTACGCACATCCTTTTGATGTGGTGGCACAAAAGAGAATTGAAGGTAGAGATACGAATTAACAGTTTATTGAATTTACTTTAAATTAAGTTATTTTTACAAAAAAACTCATATGGTAAATCTATGACCTCCTATTAGTATGCAATTCAGTATGGTACTTTACAAAGCAATACCTTATAACCCCACAACGTGGGGGAATCTTTTCTAGTTAATATTAGTTTTAATTTTACAAAATCTCGACTTACTTGCCAGATTTAACTTCCTATATAGAGGTTTCTTTGTAAGCCTCTAACTACGACTTGGAATTGAATAAAACTCTTCCTTTGGGATTTCTTGATTATTTCGTTGTTCTTTATTTCCATTATGCGTCGTTAGTTCAATACGTCCAAAGAGATGTACAACAGTTTTATAAATGAAGAAAGGTTCTTATCAACTGCCTAGATACAGTCGGTATTTGTTATAAAAGAGACCACTAATAGCTAGTTAAGATCCAAGAAATTGTATATTTAAAGGTTGCATGACTCCGGATTCGCAATTTATAATTTAGAAAGGACTCTGTTGCAAACAGCCCAAAAATCTAAAACATAAATCTCTTTTTTTTTTTTAAGTAATACAGCATCACAATATTCTTTGCTTATATTATCTCTATTTTATCATTTTATGTCAACTAAAGTCGATCTGGCAGTAAAGTTAAGTCAACACCATATCGTAGTAGTTAAATTCAGACATTTGTACAGATATTCAACTATCGGTCTCCAATTTACATGAATGACAATAAATTTTGTAAGTTGCAACAGATTTTGGCCTTGTTGATAATAAAATGAAGACAAAACTTGGAAGTTGTGTGTTTTGGTATTTGTGAAGATGTTAGTTATGATTTGTATATAAACTGATTTGATGAGACTATAACAGACAGACAGTATTCCGAAAGCAAAGAATGTAAGAGGTGAGTTATATATAGGGTGTTAGGAGAAGTCAAACTCCGGTGATATTATCCAAAGAGATAACGGCAGTGGATCCGGAGTGGTATGGCACTTGAGTATGTGAACGGAAAATATACAAGACCCAAACGTGGAGGCATAAAAGGTAAAAGAAAGAGCATGTTCTTGCCATTGGATTTCTTCTTAGAAATGTAGCACCTGTGGAAAATATGGAGTCCAACTGTCGGACCAATGAGCCTATTTGTTTTTGCCCCTTTCGGAACCTGTCTTGAAATAAGCCTGATTCTAAATCCTTGGTTGGAAGAGGAAGAGGAAGATTTGTAGATGATTTGCTCTCCTCTAATGACCTTGAAACCGCCTTTAAAATAATTCAAAAATTAGGTTGCATTTAGCCTTCCTTATAACAAGAGATGATGGTGTGGTGTGTACCTCGATCCTAAACATTAGCATCGCCTTCTCGGATGACAGCGCCTCAACCTAATTCATAACAACAAGTGTTGGAATATTTTTAATAAGTAAAACTACATTTGTGCTTTTTTTTAATGGAAAAAGGACTGAAACAAAAGGAGGATTAAGTCTTTTTAATGTTTTACGAATTCTCCTGAATATTTTTTAAAAGCCATTTATCCAGCTAAAAAAAACTGACTGACCTGAGCTTGTTTCTGAATCAAATGATCGGTCAGCTGCCCAAGTCTCCGCTTGAGTTCAACCTCCACTTGACTTGGATTTTCAATCTCCTTTCGGGTTGCTTCAATGCTTGTTTCAAGTGTCTTTGCCTGTACCAAAACCAAACGTGTAAGCTAAGATTCATACCATACCATACCATATTATAAAAGCTGCAAAAATAGCAGCCTACTTTTAATATAGCTCTACAATGTTTATGCCAATGTACTTTTAAAACTCTATCTAATTATAATTTCACTGCTATAAATGATAAGACTTTTAGAAATGTAATATAATGTCTTGGTAAGAAAAGATATTGAAAGTAAAATGGTAGAATTTTTCAAAGTATAATAAATGTCTTGATAAGAAAAAAATAAAAGTAAAATGTTGTAATAGAAATTATAGTAGCATGCCATAATGAAAGTGAGTTACTATTTTTCACATTTAATCCTAACTAAAATGCCACTCCATACAAACTGAAGTTTATTTATATAGAAGCATATTTATGAACTTGTATAAACTAAATCACAAAATTTGCTTCAGAAATACACCATAGATTGTATCCGTCCAACATATATTAAGCAAAAGTTTTTCAAAAAAAAAAAAAAAAAAAACATGCTTATATATAATATACCCGTGGCCGTGGCCGTTGCCTCTTACCTCTTACCTATGTTTGTTTTTTGACATGCTCCATATTTTTACAGGGTCAGGGAAATTGCATCCTAGTTTCGTTTCTTCCCATCACACTATTCTACTTGCCCAATCCAACTATATATAGCAATTTCTTATCCAAATACAAAGCAGTGTAGATTCTATACAGTATACAGTTATACACTACAATGTCTTAATAAGAAACACTGAAAGAAAAATACTCTAATTGACTATATTTTTCAAAGTACGATGCCTTACTAAAAAAAAACTGAAAGCGCACTGTTCACAGAAATATATATGGAAGTGTGATGCTATAATAAACAAATAAATCAAAGTACGTTGCTATTACAACATTTAGCCGCCACTCAAAATAGGCTTAATTAAATGCATAAAATAATAAATTAACTTTCATTTATTAGTTATCTTACTTCCATTTCTTTTATTTAAGCCATTGTACCTTGAAAATCTATCTATTTATAGCAATCTAAATACAAAGCAATTTTCACTGCTATATATATTTTTCAAAGTATTGCAATAATAGTAAGAAATGAAAGTAGGATGCAATAATAAAACATTTCACCTTCTCTTGCAGTTGTCCAACTTTATCCGTCACAAAAGCATGCTCTGCCTCCAATATCTCTTGTTCAAATACAACTCCCCTTGATGCTATCACCTACACCAAAACAAAACTCACTTCACATTTCACATTTCACATTTCACAAGGCTAGGAAATTAAAGGAGGTACTATGCAATTTCTACTTTCAGAAATACTTACTTTATTTCCACTCTTATCACTTCTCTTCTTTGATGTTAATTCTACATGAAAAGATAAGAAATCAACATGACATAAAAATAAGTGGAATTCAGCTCACTAGTCATAGATTTACAGAACAATGCACTCTTACCATTTTATTGATGTAGTTTTTTTTATCATGGTCACTCCCAACCGTTTAAAAATTTAAAATTCTCGGTTACTCAGTTTGAAAAAGGGCAAACTATAGAAAAGCACAATCTACTTTTACCAGCATAAAAAATAAATAATTAGCCACTGAACTATATTTTTATGATGATTACACTAAATGGTATTCAAAGTACATTGTGTTTCTTCATATTTTGCCTTGATATCAGAACTAGGTAGCC